CACCCCCCCTTGACCGGCTTTCTCGCGGCCGGGCGGGGGGCGCCTCGGGACATCGCGGCTTCAACCTCGAACGCCCCCCGGGCCCCCTCCCTTGACCGCTTCTCGCGGCCGGGGGGGCGCCTCAGGACATAACGGGGGGATACCCGAGGAGAAAGAAGAGAGAGACAGAGAGTGGAGACTCGAGCGGAAACCAGGAGAACCAACCAACCTCCTCGCTCCTCGCTCTGCGCTCCTCTGAACGCCTCCCGGGCACCCCCCCTTGACCGCTTCTCGCCGGCCGGGGGGGCGCCTCGGGACATCGCGGCTTCAACCTCGAACGCCCCCCGGGCCCCCTCCCTTGACCGCTTCTCGCGGCCGGGGGGCGCCTCAGGACACAACGGGGGGATACCCGAGGAGAAAGAAGAGAGAGACAGAGAGTGGAGACTCGAGCGGAAACCAGGAGAACCAACCAACCTCCTCGCTCCTCGCTCTGCGCTCCTCTTGAACGCCTCCCGGGCACCCCCCCTTGACCGCTTCTCGCGGCCGGGGGGGGCGCCTCGGGACATCGCGGCTTCAACCTCGAACGCCCCCCGGGCCCCCTCCCTTGACCGCTTCTCGCGGCCGGGGGGGCGCCTCAGGACACAACGGGGGGATACCCGAGGAGAAAGAAGAGAGAGACAGAGAGTGGAGACTCGAGCGGAAACCAGGAGAACCAACCAACCTCCTCGCTCCTCGCTCTGCGCTCCTCTTGAACGCCTCCCGGGCACCCCCCCTTGACCGCTTCTCGCGGCCGGGGGGGGCGCCTCGGGACATCGCGGCTTCAACCTCGAACGCCCCCCGGGCCCCCTCCCTTGACCGCTTCTCGCGGCCGGGGGGGCGCCTCAGGACACAACGGGGGGATACCCGAGGAGAAAGAAGAGAGAGAGACAGAGAGTGGAGACTCGAGCGGAAACCAGGAGAACCAACCAACCTCCTCGCTCCTCGCTTCCTCTTGAACACCTCCAGGACCCCCCCTTGACCACATCACGCGGCCAGGGGGGCGCCTCGGGACATCGCGGCTTCAACCTTGAACGCCCTCCAGGACCCCCCCACCCTTGATCGCGTCAATGGGAGGGCAGGGAGAGTTGCTCTGTTAAAGCGATGCAATGGATTCAACGCGGCGCTCTGGACGGCACCGACAGAAGAAATTGAAATCACGCGGCAACGGGAACAACGAATGATCCAGCAGGCAAGAAACCCGATGCCCCACACACCACGCAAGACCAAAGGCAGGAGGCGACGTAGTCCTGGGCCTCCCCCATCATTCCCACTCCTCCCGCCCACTGCGTCCTCCCTCCTCCCTTTCCCTCCTCGCTCTCCTACGTCCCCCATCCTTCTGATGTTTCTAATCCGTCTCCCTTCTACGGATGATCCTCGGGGCTGTGAGTATGAGGCTTGTGCGGTGTTCGCTGGGATCTCTTGGGAGGCTTCTCGCGGGCCTCTTGTGGGCAAAAGCAAAATTTTGGGGGCCTTTTGGGTCCTGTTGGGGCCTCTTTTGGGTCTCTTGGGGACCTCCGGGGGCCTCTTGGGGGCCTCTTGGGGGCCTCTTGGGGGCCTCTTGGGGGCCTCCTGGGGCCTCTTGGGGGCCTGTTGGGGCCTCCTGGGAGCTTCTTGGGGCTGAAGGCCCGGATTTTCGGTTTGGGCTCCCCCTCTTGGGGCCGTCTTGGGGCCCTCTTGGGCTTTCTTGGGAGGCTCTTGGGCCGTCTGGGCGCACTCTTGGGCCGTCTTGGGCGCCTCTTGGGAGCCTCTTGGGCCGTCTTGGGCCGGTCTCTGGGGCCTCTTGGACCGTCTTCAGCGCCGTGATTGCCGAAAAATCGTATATGCTAAAAATGTACGTTTCCGATCGAACATCAATGATTTTGGCGTCTCGGGGCCCTCTTCTGAAGCCTCTTGGAGGCTTCTTGGGGCGTCTTGGCGGCCTCTTGGGCCGCCTTGGAGTCATCTTCGGCGTCTTGGAGCGTTGTTTGGGCGTCTCGGGGGCATCTTGGCTCGTCTTGGAGGCCTCTCGGGAGCCTCTGGGGCTGTCTGGAAGCCCTCGTGGGTGTTCTTGAAGCTGAAATCAGGCCCGGGGCCCAGGGGGGCAAAAACGAGGTACGGAGGGGGGTGGCCCCATTTGTCATTGTGTGCCGGGGGCGGCCGGGGGACCCCATCACTCCGACATATATATATATATATATATATATATATATATATATATATATATATATATATATATATATATATGTGCAACGCGGCCTGCACCGCGTCGGTCGCAAGCCGCGGCCGAGGCCGTGACCTCGCCAGCCGCAAGCTGGAGGCCTCGGCGAAAGAGGCGGCGCAATGCCGTAGGGCCACGCTGAAGGGGTCGCACCCGCGACGGCTGGCGCAGTGCTGTAGGCGCACGGGGGCCTGCAGAGCAGGGCCCCCGCGGCCATGATTAATCAGCATCCTCCTGCCGCCCTCTCCCCTCTTCTCTCCCTGACCCTCACAGTCAAACGGCGCGAGGCCCGCGGGCCGCGCCATGGGCGACCAGCGCGCTGGCCCACGCCTCGACACCGCCTCGCGGGTGCCTGCGCGGAGGAATCCCGCGCCGCGAGCCGCGCGCACATCGTGCACTTGCCCTGCGAGCGCAGGGAGATATAACGATCAAAATGGCGGAGGAGGAGGAGGAGGAGGAGGAGGGGGAGGAGGAGGACCGCCCGTGTAGAGTCCGTCACCTGGATCCACGGAACAGACACAAAGCGCTGCGACGACGCGCGCACGCGCGCGAGGCGCAGCTAAGACTGCCAAGCAGAGAAGGGGCAACAGAGCTTAATCCCGCAGTAGCTGCGGAACTAGCGCCGTATCTTGAGACATCTTGGAGGCTCCTGGGACCGTCTTGGTGTCATGACAGGCGTCTTGGAAGGCATCTGGAGCCAAGTCGCAGGGAAGGGGGCAGGGGGAAGAAGGCCAGAGAGCGCTGAAGGATACAAACACTGGAACCCTCTTGTGATTTTGTGGGGGGCCTCGTCCGGCCGCTCGCTGGGAGTTTGACGTAGCTTCTCGGGAGCCTCTGAACCTGTCGGGGGCCTCCTGGAAGCAGGTTCGAAGCATTTTGGGGGCCGATTTGGGGCTTCTCGGGGCCTCCTTTGGGCCTCTTGGGGGTCTCCTGGGGCCTCTTGAGGGGCCTCCTTGGGGCCTCCTGGCGGCCTCTTGGGGCGGAAGGCTCGAGCTTGCGGTTCGTGGTCCCCCTCTGGGCCCCCTCTTGGGCCCGTCTTGGGGCCCTCTTGGGCCATCTTGGGCGCCTCTTGGGCCGTCTTGGGGCCCTCTTGGGCTGTCCTGGGGCCCTCTTGGAAGCTTCTTGGGCCGTCTTGGGGCGGTCTTGGGCGCCTCTTGGGCCGTCTTGGACGCGGCGAAAGCCCAAGAGGCGAACATGCGAAAAATATACGTTTTCCAATAGGAATGACACGATTTTTGCTTCTTGGGCCTCTCTTGGGCTGCCTCTCGGAGCGTCTTGGAGGCTTCTGGTACCTTCTTGGTGTCATGACAGGCGTCTTGGAAGGCATCTGGAGCCATCGGAACGCGTTCCGAAGCCGCCTGCGAACGATCTTGGACGGCGTCTGGCGGTCCGACGAGCCTCCGGGCCCCCCGGGGGCCCACATTTGTGGTCGGGGTCCCGGCCCCGGGCCCCCGGACCCGGCGCGCCGTTATATGTATATTCGGTGGCACCCCTCACACAGATCGGCGGGGTCAGGGTCCAAAAACACAAGGGATTTGCCACATGTCTGAAATTCGGTACCACCCCTCACGCAGATCGGCGGGGTCAGGGTCCAAAAACACATAGGATTTGCCACATCTCTGAAAATCGGCGGCACCCCTCATGCAAATCGGCGGGGTCATGGTCCAAAAACACAAGGGATTCGCAACATTTCTAAAATTTCCTGGCACCCCTCACGCAGATCGGCGGGGTCAGGGGCCAAAAACACAAGGGATTTGCCACATTTCTGAAATTCGGTGGCACCCCTCACGCAGATCCGTAGTGTCAGGGTCGAAAAACAAACAGGTCCTGACACTGCTTCACAGCGAAACCAACGCCTCATGACTTCGCTTTTCCATGGCCCATTCTCCGAGAGAGAGGGGCTGGCGGCAGGGGGCGAAGCCCTTCGGATATTCTTGGGATCCGCAAGAAATCTAGCAGGGCAGGGCTCCCTGACAGTCCACGCCCAGGACTGTCCAGGAAACGCCAATCGCGGGGGGGCCGGGACAATTCTTCCTCCCTCGAGCCACGGCAGAGCGGGAAGGTCGCTGCTCCTGGAGGAAACACACACACACACACGGCGTAAACACAAACCGTTGGAGGTCCGCGCGGATCTCTTGGATCGGCGCTCGACCATCCTCCCTGTGGGTGGCCACGTGCGAGCCCTACCCCCACCCCCACGATTTCTAAAGGGAGGTGGGGGACCTCCCGAACGAAGTGAACCCTCACCCCCCCTTAGAAGTCGTCGGGGGTGGGGGTAGGGATCACATGTGGTCACGTACCCTGGCGAGCTGAGCGCGCCAGGGGCGGCGCCGGAGGCGCCGCCAGGGAGGCACATCTTCGATCCATGAAATCCGCGCAGAGCTCCGACAGTTTATGTTTACGCAGTGCCTTTTACGACGCCAGCGATGTTATGATAGGGTTGGCTCGAGATACGTCCCAGGATTCCCAGGATGCTTATGCCGCTTTTCCTTGACCGAGCTACGACGCCCTGAGGAGCGGCCCGGCCCTGGGGCGCGCGGCCCTCAGGCCGCGCACCGAGGGCAGCGCGGACACGCTGCTCCTCGGCGACTCCGACCGGTGTGGTTTGCAACCGGCACCCTGGGGGGGCGCGAGGGACCTCGATAGAGTTCTCCGCCGCGCCCCGAGGCGGCCCGACGAGGACAGCGTCGTGCCTCCCAGGCCCCGGCGGCGCCGATCGCAAACCACACCCTGGCGTAACCACACACTGGGGCGAGTGGCCCGTGTGCCGTACTTCTTGATCGAGCTACGACGCCCTGAGCAGCGGGCCAGCCTTGGGCCGAGCGGCCCTCAGGCCGCGCACCGATGGCAGCGCGGACACGCTGCTCCGCTGCCGCGGCAGCGGCTCCGAGGGTGCTGGACTGAGGCTGGCGCCCCGGCCGCCCGGCGGGCGGCCGGGGGCCGGCCCGGCGTCGGCGCGGCACCGCCGCTGCTGCAGCCGCGCCGGGGAGCCTGCTTGCAAATGAATGGGACGCACAGGGGCGTTCTAGTACTATGTGTCAACCTCGGAGGCGTGCGTCCGACCCGAACATATAGTATGGCCATCTCGTAGTGTATCGTCTCCCGAGCGGTATAGCTAGACAGCGCCCCCCCATGGAGCTTTTACTAGAAGATTTCTCGGCGCGCAGCCCATGGAATTGCCCGAATCGCTGATCGGCGGGAGTAGGGTTCGGATTTCGCCGCCGAGCAGGGGGCGCCGCCAGGGGTGTCCAGAGCCAATCCAAGAAATCCGCGCGGACCTGTGAAAATGAGTGTTTGTGCAAGGTTTCTGTTCTACGAGACGGGGGAACCAAAAGATACCGATACCGCTACTCCCTGGACCTCTCCCGGAGCACGGTCTGACCAGAATTGCAAGGCGAATCAGGCCGTGGCGAAGAAAACCTCCCAGGAGGCCCAGCAAGGTGAAAACGGGTGAAGGGTAGCGGTATGGGTACCTTTTCCAGAGGCCTCCCAGATTGGGTCCGAGTAGATGGGGTCGGAGGATTGCGCCGCATCGCCAATGCACCGGCGATGCGCCGGCGATGCATCGGCGATGCATTGGCAACGTCGCCGTGGAAAAAATCGGGCTCCACATCGAGCCGCATTGCCGATGCGGCACGTTCCTCCGACCACTTCTACTTCGACCACACTTGGGCGGCCTGGGGGCGAGGAGGAGGAGGAGGAGGAGGAGGAGGAGGAGGAGGAGAAGAACAAGGAGGACCTAAGGAGGAGTAGCAGGAGTAGCAGATCACCGCACCAGGGTGCGGGGGCGGGCGACCGAGCGGTCCTCAGCCGACCACGGAGATGGACAGGCACTGCACGTTGCACACGGCGAGGACGGAGAGGGCCCCTCCCTCGTGAAGGCCCGTGGCGGCGCATCATCCACGGCATGCCGTGGGTAGCTGCATTGCGAGGGGATGCGTGAGAGCCCGATGCATCTCCTCCACGAAGGTGCACTCCCTACGCAGCCTCGCATGGTGAGCAGCCTGGCACCTCGCGCCGCCGATGCGGGGGAAGCCGTGGAAGTCGACGTCCAGCCACGGCGCGAAGGGGGCTGCTTGGATGCGGAGCGGCGTGCGCCTGGGGGCTGAGTACGGGGTCTCCGCCTGGTGCTGGCCAGCGTCAGGGAGGCTCATGGTCTCCACCGCCGAGCCAGCCGCTGTCGCCACATCCGCTGGGCGGGGGTGTGCAGCTTCTCGGCGAGCAGCTCCGCGGTGTTGCGCCGCCGACGGCGCTTTTTTTCTCCAGGAAGGACACGATAGAGCAAGGGAGGAGATCAGGCCGCAGCCCGTGGGGAGAGACTGAACGGGCGTCCACACTGGCGACCAGCAACTGCACGGCGGGTCTGGGTGGCGGGCGCTCCCCAGGGAGGGAGGCAGGAGGCGGGGGGCGAAAAAACCAGGCGCGGGGCGGGAGGGCCTCCAGAGCTAACGCCGAAGGCAGGCGTCTACAGCCCCACAGACCGCCACGGGAGCGCAAAACCCTGAACGGGGCCCAGCAGGAGAGAGAAAGAGAGAGAGAGAGAGGAGAGGCGAGACGGCGACGACAGACGGACGGCGGCGACGAGCGACGGCGACACGAGGGCCCAGGGACCCAGGGGAGGGGGCGCCGACCCCCCAGGACAGCTCCGACGGCGCTTGCACGTGTAGCGAGTCTGCCTTGGCAGCCGCCGTGCTGTCGTCCTCCTCCGAGGTGGGCCCCATTCCATCGTCGCCAGGGGCAGGCGAGTCCGCGTCCTGCAAGGTCATCTTGACGACCTCCAGTAGCATCTCGTCCGCGTTTGCGACCAAGGGCTCGAGGTGCTGCCAGAATCGGAAAATGTCAGCCACGAAGGACGAGACGGCGTCGGGCGTCTCCATGGTGGTAACCTGATTGGGCTGCTGCTGCCAGGCGTTGGGCGGCACGTGGTGCGGTGCCGCCGCCTGGACCTCGGGGTCGTCCTCCTCCAGGGGGCCGACGGGGTCGCAGCGGCCGATGACCTCCTCTGTGGTGTCCTCCTCCTCCTCCTCCTCCTCCTCCTCCTCCTCCTTCGTCGGGCAAGGGTGGCCTGCAGCGGCCGCCTCCGACGCGGCAGGGGGGAGGGGAGGGCGGGCGCACTCGGGGCCTCCACGTCCAGCGACTCGCCGAGGGTCGGCGTGTGGGGTGCCCGCGGTCGGCACCGATCCGCCCCGGCCAGTCCAGTTCAGCAGAGGATGCGCGAGCGAAGCCGCCCGGCGGCACGCGCTGGGCGTGCCAGGCGGCGTTCCTGCGGAGGCGGCGACTGCCTGGCACAGGGCGTCCCTGCGCTAGCAGCTGGAGCGCCGGCCTGGCCGCCCGCTCGCGGTCTTGCCAGGAGCCTGGCTCGCAGGGAGCCAGCGAGGCCCACAACGCCGCCTCGCACGCCGCCTGAGCTCTCTTTCTCGCCATTCGCCTTGCCGCCAATGGCCCCCACAGGTGGGCCTGCGCAGCGCGGAGCGAAGGCGGCCGCCACTGCGCAGGGCGGCCTCCCGCAGCCATTGCATGCACCGTGAGCTCAAAGCCCCGCTCCCCCAAGTCCCAACGCCCGCCGCGTTGCCCCGACTGACGACGGGTTGGGGTCGCAGGGTACGCCTGGGGACAAGGTCCAGGAGCGGGGGGCCTACGGAAAGGCATGAGCCAAAATGGCTACGGAAGGAGGACAAGGAGGAGGAGGAAGAGGAGGAGGAGGAGGAGGAGGAGGAGGAGGAGGAGGAGGATGGGGAGGAGGAGGAGGAGGAGGAGGAGGAGGAGGAGGAGGAGGAGGGTTCACGTCGTGCAGACCTCGGCGTTGGTCTCCGACATACCGCGGAGATCGTTCAACCTGGAACGATCGGACGCTTCCGAAGCGTCAGATCGTTCAACATCGACCGATTCTGGGTCGCTGGCGGCGTTCAACATTGAGAGCTGGCGGCGGGTTCGCCGCCGGTCGACACGACGCAAACCTACTGCAGATGTTCCTCCTCTGGGGCTCAGGATGCCTTTGCCCACGCGCGGCCTGTGGGCGTGCCCCACGCACGTGCGGGCTTGATATCCTTCCCCAGCGCCGACCGCACGGCGGCGCCGTCGCCCGGCAGCCCGCTGGCGAGCATGCGGGCGAGGGAGACGCCGGCGAGGAAGTGCGAGCAGATGTCCTGGCGATCGGCGGCGCGCCCAGGGGGGGAAGGCTCGGAAGGCCGACGGCCTCAAGCCTTCTGAACAGTGAGTGCTCTGAGCTTGTGAGCCTCCTCCGAGGACAGGGGCGGCCTCTCGGAAGGCGCAAGCGCTTCGGAAGAGCCCCGCCGCGTTCCGAGAAGGCTTGCCCCCTCTCACTTCTCCTGGGCGCGCCGCCGAGACGACGACGACGACGACGACGACGACGACGACGACGACGACGACGACGACGACGACGACGACGACGACGACGACGACGACGACGACGACGACGATAGAAGATCGAAGATCGAGGTGTTTGGGCGCGTTTCGCATGTCCTGGAGAGGGCAGGCCGAGCCCTCGGCTCGTGACTAGGCTACGGACACTGGGGCGGCGACACCTACAAGGCGGCGCAGGCGGAAGGAGTGCTGGAGCGGGTGGCGGTTGTCGGTTTCGTCGTGGGGGGATGTCGTGAGGGGTCGTCGTGGGGGTGTCGTCGCGGGAGGTCGTCGGTCGGGAAAGGCGTCGGGAAGGGCGTCAGGACGGGAGTCTGGAACGTTGTGCCTGACCGAGCCCAGCACGCTGCGTCTTGGTGGGGATTGTCCTCTGCAGGATCCACCCACCGCCCCAAAGAGGGCAGTATCAATGAGCGGGGTCCAAGGACTGACTGTGAAAAAGCGGCTCGGGATGAGAAGCAGGTCTGTCGAGACTTCTGGAGAGGGCGCCCCCGCCTGGTAATGTGGTACGGCCTCGGGTTGCTCAGAGACGGCGGCAGTCCCGGCTGATCTCAACAGGCCCCCCGAGCAGTCCAAGCTGGCCCCAACAGGCCACCCGAGTAGTCGAGAGCTGCGAGGCGGGGATTTATCCATGTCCACCGCCTGGGAACCGACGTCCTGGTGCCCCAGCGGGCGGTGGATATGGAAATATGTCGGCCCCCAGGGGCCCGAATATGTCCATGTCCACCCGCCTGCCGAGATCCCCGAAAGTTGATCCTCCAGGCGGTGGTCATGTAGAAACTCCCGCTTCGGAAGAGAAGTCTCAATATCCTGGCGCCGCCTCTGGCGGCGCCCCTGGGGCGCCCCGCGCCCAACGGTTGGGGTGCCGAGACCGCCCTGGACTGCTCGGGGAACCCGGTGGGGCCAGCTGAGATGGCCCGTGCGCACGCCTGGAGCCTTACCAGCAGGGCGCCCCCGTCCCTCGCCCGCTCTCCCCGACGGGCACGCCGGGAATTGGTACAGAAAAAACGGGCACGACGACCAACAGCGGATGAGCGACGATCAGAAAAGGGTCTTACGCGAGATGACGTAGCGACCTTACGCCGCGGCTTACGCGGGCCGCCGGCGCGGCACGCCACATTGGAGACGAGGGCGTTGACGCGCGATCTTACGCGGGCAGCTTCGGCGCGAATGTTGGCGCAGACGACCACGTTTTTTTGCGTCGCTCAAATGTCGCCGCGCCGTTTGTCTTGGTCGGAACAAGCGGCGAGGCGATAAATTGTCCCAGAGCAACCGCGGCCGCAATTGGGCATGCTTATTTTTGTCTCACATGGACAACGTCCGCGGCGCCACTGACAACTCGGAGGCTCCAGGAGATACGGAGAAATTCTGGCGAAAATCGGTGTCCAAACCCATCCTGGGGTCCATCTGGTTCGGTTTTTCACCCAAAATCCGTTTTTGACAGTCTGGGGCCCGGAAACGGCTCAGGGAGACAGAACAAATGAAAACCTTGCTCGAACCCAGAACCTCGAACCACACACCCCTTCCGTCTGGCGCGAACCAATGCTGGGCCACCTCAGACTCCCAGCCGGTTCCAACTGACAACGAGCCTTGCTCAACATGGACAAGAACTGCTGTCGGTCTTCGCGCCGACCCGAGATCCGGGCGCGGCTACATTTTCACACCGGGCGTTTTCGCCTGGGTTCGCTTTTGTTCCATTCCAGGCGGTTGCTTCACCCCAACACCTCGATCTGGCTCAAAAGATACCGCAGAAAGGTTGGGTCGAATCCAGGGCGGCTCCGGTCACGATGTTTCTCGAAGCCGTATTCTCTCCGTGTCGTCCGATCGAGGTTCTTACCGACGATGCCCCTGAGGAATGACTCCGCGGGCAGACGAAGATCCTCACATCCTCTCCACACTGCTGAAATCGAAGGAGACGTAGAATACGACACAACCGCACAAACGCCACCTTTCGGAGGTCTGCGCGAATTTCTTGAATCGGCGCCAGACTCTCATCCGAGGCCTCGGGGGGTCCAGGAGGTTCGGAGCGGGGGCCTGGGAGGTGAGGGGGATCTCAGAGTGAATGAGCCGAACGGTCATTCACTATCACTGGGTGCGTGGCTGAAGTGGGATTCTGCGATGCGGATTATTGACGTTGTCGTTGTCGTTGTCGTTGCCGCTGTTGTTGTTATTGTTGTTAATGTTGTTGTTATTGTGTTTGTTGTTGTTTGTTATTGCTACTTGGCTTCGTCCCCCCCGCGACCGGGCCTCAAAACCACTCGCGACCCACCCCGCGACCCGCCCGCGACCCCCCCGCGATCCACCCCGCGACCCACCCGCGACCATCTCGCGCCCCCCCCCGCGACCCGCCCGCGACCCGACCGCAACCCACCCGCGACCCACCCGCGACCCACCCACGACTCAGCCCGCGACCCACCCACATTGCTTGAACAACAAATCGGCGCTTGCGGCGGGCCTGTCGGCGGGCCTGTTTATGATTTTTTATTTATATATATATATATATATATATATTTGTTTTTTTTTTTTCCAAAAAAAAAAAAAAAAATGAGGGCCTGCGGCGGGATTCTTCAGAGCCTCGCAGACAGCAGACGTCCCCGCCGCCACCGCACTCTTATCCGCAAGTGCTGGGTGCAACATACATGTACACCCAATGCTAGCACATTTGCCTGTACCTGGCGCGCTATGTGCCCGTCTGCCAAAGTTGCTATGCACGCGATGTGCTGGTTCCGCCAGTGTGGGCTAGCAGGTGGGGAAAGAACGCGTGAGAATCGAGAATCGAGCACGGGATTATAGAGAATCAGAAGACTGTCGTCGTCGTCCTCGTCGTCGTCGTCGTCGTCGTCATCGTCGTCGTCGGCGTCGTCGTCGGCCTCGTCGTCGCCGTCGCCGTCGCCGTCGTTGTCGTCGTCGTCGTCTTCGTGCTCGTCGGCCTCGTCGTCGCCGTCTCCGTCGCCGTCGGACTTGTCGTCGCCGTCATCGTCGCCGTGTTCGGCCACTCCTGCAGGTGCATCGCCAGGCTGCCGGCGTCCGCGCGGCCGCCTCGTTGGGCGCGGGCGGCCCCGGGCTCTTCCAGGGGCGGCATGGCCTCCAAAAGACTCCCAGAATTTGTGTTTGCTAGACAGAGCGACGGCATCTACACACGCACATACACACATCCATACAGATACAAAGACAGATTCCCCAAACAATGAATGCACTGAGGGTTCTGTGCTTCCTCTTCTACGGGAAGTGGGCCTGGGGGTCGGTCTGGCGGCTCCGTGGTCGCATTCGCTGCCCCGTAGCCGCCTCGTCGCCGCCCGTCGTCTGGGCTTTGGGGTCGGTTTGGCGGCCCCATGGTGGCCGCATCGGTGCCGCCTCGCGCAACCTATATTGCCACCACCTCCAAGAAACAACAGATCGGCCACCCACCCCCGCAGGTTTATCGACCCCCCGTAGGACAACGCAATGTTCGTACGATTATGTCCCATCGTTCGTTTCGTTATGAGCTCATACAATCCCAGCTGAACCCCAAATCGCACCCCCCCCCCGCATCCCTGTCAAAGTACACTGTGCGCGAACATTCGTCGATCAACTGCTAACCAGCGTGGACCCCAAACAACGTGTCTCTATCAATTCGTGCGGTGCTTTCTACGTGAAGCAAGCGAGGTCGTGCACTATATGTGCAGCGACGAGTGGTGTGTTATCCGTGTGGGGCAACGTATGTTGCGCAATAAATGACTTGCCGAACTTGAAATTGTCAAATCCACTGCTCGCGCAACCATCCCACCCACCCACCCGCACCTTGGTTTGCAAAGCCCAAGCGGGAGCGTTTGCGATGAATGCTGGGTGTTGACTGGTGCATCTCTGCGGCCGCGCTAGCCCGCACATCCTCGCGCGCGCAGCGGCCAGGTAGTTTGGCACGACCGACGCGAACGCGGTGGCGCTGACCGCTCGGGACAGTGCGAGCCGGCGACTTGGGCGGGTGCGGTATCATGGCAACGTCGACAGCGGTAGACCCGATGATGATAGTAGAAATGCTGGTGAGGATGCTGACAGCGACGACGGGGCAAACAGTGACGGCGCCGATGCTGATCACGCCGGCGACGATGACGGCGTTTCCGCGTTGGTGATGAAGGTTTGGGAAAGAATTCGAAATGCGCGCGCGGCAGACGCGCGACTGCCACCCCAGCACGCGCGCAAGCGCGTTCGAACTATTTCGATATGCGCGCGCGAAGCTCGTTTGGAAGAATTTTACGAACATGTTGAAACATCCATGGTTATCTTAAGAATTCGCAGAGAGCGCGCGCACGCGTTTGTTGAACATCCGTATTGCGAAAACCTGTGTATTTCTTGGTATTAGACACTCGATTTTGAAATCCTTCCGAAACCGCAGATTCTTGAAAGATTCCGGCATGCGCGCGTAACGACGCGCGCGTGTGCCCTTCGTCCAATTTCTTTCAAGGGATTCTTGAAAACGTATTATTTTTGATAAACGAGCGTGCGCGCATATATTTTTTGCGTTGCGGAGGATGGCGGGGGGGGGGGGGCGATACCGGCCTGGCTGGTATGATATGAATCAACACTTCGAATCGACGATGGGGCAGAATCGTATGTAAATTGCAATACGAAAAGGTGAGTCGATAAGTGGGGGGGAGGGTGGTAGAACCGATCTCATTTGTTTCTTTGCGAAAAGGGAATCGATTTGGTGCAATCCACGTGGCGCAACGCATGTGATGCAACCGATGTGGGGCAATCTATGTGGTGCCATCTGTTTGGTGCAATGTATACGGCGCTATTTGTAGCGCAGCGCAATCCATGTGGTGCAGTTTATTTTGTGCAATGCATGCGGCGAAATCTATGTTGTGCAATCTAGGTGGTGCACTTGCAGGTGTGAGCGATCGAAAAGCGCGCCGCGGGCGCAAACCTTTCTTCTTGCTGTTTGTGTAACGCAACATACGTAGGCCAATGTACGTGGTGCAAAATAAGCAAGCGACAAGGACAGGGGTGAGAGAGAGCACGGCCATGTGCCCCACAGCGTTCTCCTGCGAGGGATCATGGCCGTCTGGATCAAACGTGTAGCCAGCATCGGGGCGAGATTGCGATTCCTGAAAACAAAATGAAGATGTCTCAGGCGAAATGGATGCCAGACCTGGCGGGCTGTGGCTCCCCGCCCCCCCTGTGGAACTCTTCTGTGGTCCTGTTTCTACCTCTATGAGAGGGGCAAATATCAACGATAGTGATAATAACAATACTAAACGCTTAAATGGCCTAAGATCGCGGCAACCACGTCTCTCGACATCACGGGAATCACCGCAGGAAGGCAAAACTGAGACGGCGCAGACGCGGGGGAAGAACAATGAATCGTTCGGCGCCGGAAATGCCACTCTCCCCCCCAGATGAGAGAGGACGTGAGGGGTATTCCCTGTCCAATTCGTGGGCTACTATCGTTACCCTGAGTGCGATTCAATATTTTCACACCGGCAGGTGTCGACTCTTTTCGGGCCCAAGGGCCATCACGTACCTATCGGGCTCGAGAGCTGCCGCAGGTAGATGGGATCCAGGGCTCCATTCGTAATTGCTCCCGGAGTTGCGCATTTTCCGCGTCGGATCTCGGGGAGGGGAGCGGCGCGAGAGGATTGGCCTGCTAAGAAGGCGGGGGGGGTCTAAGGAGACGAGGGGGCCGTCTTGGAAGCCCGCCCCGCTGCTGAAGGGCCTTCTTAGAAGCCTCCGGGGCCGTCTAAAGAGGCCCTTGCCTTCGTAGAAGCCCCGACGCCTTCTTAGAAGCCCACCCCCCTCGCGCCACCCCCTTTTGAGCGCCGCCAGTCTTCCTCCCCAGACCTCTATCGTAAAAGTGTGTGCGTGAGCTGTGAGTGTGTGTGTGTGTGCTGTCTTTCACGCTTTAAAATCTTGACATTATTGTTGTTTGCGCCTGTGCGTGGGACAAGCCTGGGGCCCAGCAAACACAGACGTCACCACGTACATAGATCGCCGCCTGCCGCTTCTCTGCTTGCATGTGTGCACGCCTTTTGTTTGTACATCTGCCCCGTGCCTGCAGCCACATCTCTCAGAGGATGGCCGAACGGCCACGGGAGTTTCGCGCTCGCAGGTGGTGCTCATGACCGAAACCCTGACCACTCCTTTGTAAAAACACACCTACCGTACAGAGACTTTCGGCACTTCCGACGCCATGGATAGCTGGAGTTGAACAATTCATCTTTGGAATTTCAGAGGTTGCAGATTGACTGACATATCACTCTTCAAGATGTGTGCGCGACGGAGTGGAAGTAGGGCATTCTGTCGTACTGTACCGCGCTCGCGACGTTCATATTCCACACCTTTATATCTCGTAGTTCGACGGCTGTTGTTCGTGACACTCTTTGACGTAACCCCATGTTATGGCACACCCATTCGTCAGATAACTGCGACAGCAGACGCAAGCTTGCGAACCATGACAAAAGAAAGAGTTCCCCTTCGGAGTATCCCCAAAGCAGCCGTTGAAATGAGATGTGAGCAGCACATGATGCAGCTTGTTTCGTGTATTGATCTCATACAAGTTCCCCTTCGGTTTGGAGATCGACGCTTACCTCAGACACGTACCTTGAAAGTGCTCGGACAGTTCATGCTCGGGACCCTGTGGCAGCTCTCCCACCGACAACCCCCGACAGATGTCTTACAGTTACTTGAAGCTGCACTTGAGGATCTTGCTGAATGGTTTCTGGGAGATGATGCTGTCGCAACGGTTCATGTCAATAGTATGTATATGACGATGATGACTGCACACTACGTTCTACGTATACGACAGATGTAGACACAAAGGAAACGGCATCGTCGTGTTGCTCAGAAGTGTACGCTCGTCCTCCCAGTTCCCCTTCAGCATGCTCTCTCCCGCGCGGGTCTTGCATCGTTTCGTGATGTACTTCCGTTGCGTGATGTTCTGGGACTTCAGATTGATTGTATCCTTGGAGTTTCTTCCCCACACATGCGTAAGCAATCGTTCGTGTACCAGCTGGGGCACCATGCACGATATGTGGGACAAGGACAGGTATATCGTAGCACAGGCAAGCAAGCTGGAGCTGTATCATGCACGAAAGAACATCTAAAAAGCCTACGAAAATGTAGCCAAAGCAAGCCAATAGCTGACAAAACACGCTATCTTACACTTCTGGGAGCGCATCGTACACATCACATCTCGATCATCTTCGTTGTACAAGTACCCACGGACACCATCTCAGCGACCGAGGCGTCATACATCACCTTCTCGTCTCCCGAGGCCAATAACATACATAAGTCTCAAGCGGCCTCGGTTGGCCTCGGTCCTGGGTCCAGCTCCCCTGGCAAGACAGGCAAAACCTCCAAGAGAGCCCGCAAATCCCGTGCCCTACGCAGACAACGACTACCCAGACCCCCAGAAGCTATGGAAGCGCATGAGGTCTGGCAAGCTGCTAGGTTTCAGGCTCTACGGAAATTTCACCTTCGTCAATCTAGGAAGCGGGACCGTACTAAAGAATGGGGCAATATATTACGGGGGCACTATTTACGATAATAAGATTTCTGTCTTCGACGACATGTGGCACGTTTCCACACACAGGGGCCAGTATATCTATATGACCCTGCGCATACTATCATACGTATCAGGTTTTCTGCTTGGAGATCTCGTGACGTTATTTGGCAATATGCTGTGGCACAGAAAAATAATAACAATAATTACTTGTATACGCTGTGGGGTTTATGTACAGTATTCCCGTTCTGGCACGAGAAAACAATTGCGCAAGCTTCGAGTTCGTCTCGCTTTGAATTGATTGGAGTGCCAAGGCCGGGTGGGTTCACGATCACACTGAACCGACCAGAAGATTTACCGACGGTACGGCGATGGCTTGGCATTGTTTTACATCACACATAATCGTTCTAGACCTGCATGGACATTGCTAGTGCGGAAGCACCTCCGTGTGACAGTGGCTGCAGTGACCACTATCCAAAGTGTGCTTCGATTTCTAGAGATCTTCATAGACACCCTATTCAAGACCTACGCTCACTTTGTTCAGATGATTTTGGCATCGCTG